AATTATTATTATTCATTATTAATTATTCATTATTAATTATTAATTATTCATTATTAATTATTCATTATTCATTATTATTTATTAATTATTCATTATTAATTATTCATTATTCATATTAATTATCATTTATTAATCATTAACTATCAATTATTAATTATTCATTATTCATTATTTATTATTAATTATTGACTATTACTCTATTAACAACAAATGATCAAATACCACTTACAAACAAATTCCTAAGAAATTTATATATTCAACACAAGTACATAACATCTTAGAACTAATTACATCGCAGGTTTTATAAACAATCACTTTAATAAAAAAACTTAATTTGAAACAATACAATCTGCGAGTTAGCTCTAATTCGGCTTAAAATCTACTATTGCATAAACGTGGGTGAAAATAGTCATGTGGTCTTCTAAATACTTATGGTGATTAAAAAACCCTAAATTTTCAATTATCATCAGATAAATAAATATGCAAAATAAATATAATAGCAAAAACACCATCAAACTATTGTTTAGACAGTTGAGACTCTTTCTCATACACTAAAGTTATAAGAGTGTTTGATAAATTAAACCAGGAATGAATTATGGGTATATAATCACTACCTTTTAATATTTTAATTTTTTTTTATGAGTTATGATTTAGAGCTTATGCTACTTATCCTCAATTGAAAATTCTATAGTAGTCGTTTGAAATATGACTATCATAATATTTTCATGATTATATGATAGTACTGAGGTTAATATTATCAATCGTGATTATTGATTAGATGTGCTCTTATAGGTTTGGTGCTAAAATCATATTTTAAGATTGTTTAAATTACTACTGAGTATTTGAATAGTTGTACATTCTACGGAGTGTTTTATTACTAGTTCAATAATTATACTAAAAAAAATTCTAAATATTAAAGTTCCGAACTATGAGTTTAAGATTACAAAATTAATATGTTACACTTGAGCACCCTAACTTTTCTATTACTTGCTTAGCTCCGTCCCATAATATGTTAGACGTTAGAATTTTTTTTTTCTAGTTATATATTAGCTTTGATCATAATTTTTACTATTATAAAAAACATATATTTGATAAAATATGTTGTTAGATAGGTATTAATATAAAGCTTCGTAATATAATTTTTAAAATACTTTTCATTGATATTTAATTACATAAAAATAAAGTCAAAATAGTGCATTAGCATGTGTGCGAAATCGATTGTGTCAGATATTCCATGACAGAGGGAGTATATAATTATATTGTTGATAGTTTCACCTTCAACAGTAAAATTTTTCAAGTTTTTGCCCATGTTGGCTTATTATTGTACTTGATCAACCAAAAGCAGCTCAAGTGACCTAACTAAAATTATTATCGAGTTTGACAATTATTTTTTATTAATCTACTTTTGTATAATGTACTTGAATTAGTTATTACAATTTCTTATATGTGGTTGGCCAATCATCACCGGATTTTGATGAGTGGCATTTATGCCACCATTTCACCCTTTTTCACTAGAGAATTCACCCGATTTGTCACTTGTTTATATCTCTTCTTACCGTTTTTTACCTTTATTTTAGTTACTTTTCGCTCCCTCTCGTGTTTTTCCTTCTCTTTTATCTTTTCTTTTACTTTTTACCTCATATTCGTGTGTTTTGATAGCTCCTAACACTCGTGGGCGAATTTTGGATTTATAAACAGAGTTGGAGTTGCTAAGGTAGCTACTCAAGGAAAAGGAGATGCTGCAAAGGAAGAGGAGATGCTGCAAAGGAGAGGGTGCGCTGCTACAGGTAGCCGCGGGCGCAGGTCCCATAGCCGCGGGCGCGGACAAGTGCATCCTGAGCTACATAGCAGTTTCTAGAGATGGTTGGGAGAAGGCCTGGAGAGGGCGCGACTAAGAGGGTCGCGGACGCGGCAGCATTGGCCGCGGGCGCGACGAGCTGGGTTTTCCTAACTTTGTACCCACGATGGAGAGGGCGCGACAGTTTGACTAGAGAGGCCTCCCCCATGCCCGTTTGCCTTGTTTTAAGAAGAGACTATAAATAGCCTTTGGCTTGAATCTTCATGTATCCACTATTCCATTGACATCAAAAACACTTTATAGAGAGAGAAGATGAACATCTTTTAGAGAGAGAAAATAGCTAGTCTTGAAGTTTCAATCTTTGTAATCAAGATATTCAAGTTTTCTTCAAGATTATTGCAACTATTTCATGTTAGGCTAATCCCTCAACATTTATAATAGTAATCTCTTTTCCTTATTCTCTAGTTTTTAGTTTTATTGTTCTTATTAGTATTTTCTTCCATAAATTTCCTTGCTTTACTTGTTTCATTGCTTTCTCTTTGATTTAGAATCATGTTAAGTTTTGTTAGGATTGAATACATGTTTAGTTTAGTTGTCATGGCTATTTTCCTTTCTCTAGCTTAGATTTCTAGCTAGGGAAGGGGGGTGAAAATTATGTTTGCTTGAGTTTCTATTGATTATTGATTGGGTTTGCCTTGAGTTGATGATTTGTTCTTAAAAATGCTTGGAGTTATTGTTGTGCACCTTTAACCCCGATATTTTAGTCCTATATTAGATGCATGAGAATGATCTAGTTTAGATTTGATTGATTTCATCAACTTGCTTTGAGTAATTGCATGAGAATGAATTATTTTGAGTAGAGTTTGTACTCCTTGGCATGAATCCATATTGATTTTCATAGTTATCTTGTTGGTCATTATTGGAACCCCCTTTCCCTAGTGCTTTTTGACCATATTATCTTTATAGTCTTGCTTTCATTTTCATTTTAGAGTGTCTAGTTCAATCTCCTTATTTTTGGCTTGATTAGGTCTCTTGTGGTAGATAGTTTAATCATAGAACTTCTCAAAACAAACTATAATACCCCCTTTGTTACTTGCAATAGATCCTAGATTTCACAGTGATTGTGCATTACCCTGTTTCTTTGGGATTCAACCCTTACTTGCCACTATCTAGTATAAATTTGATAGAGCTAGATAGGAGTAAAAATTGTAGATTTGATCTAGGGTAGTAGTAACGACCTATTGTTCCCCGATCAAATTTTTGGCGCCGTTGTCGGGGAAACGGCTTGTTTTGCACTCTTATTGTGTTATTATTAGATTTGTTGCCTTTTTATTTTGTTCCTTTACTCTCTTGCTAGTCACTGCTAATTGTTTGCTTAGCTTTGGTGGATGGAAATGAGATCTCAAGGACCTCCTATACACTACATTGACTACAAAATCGACCGCACTTAGAGACAAGTCCGAAGACTTTATCAAGAAGAGGGACGAGGTTTTGGTGCTATTTTTGATAGTGAGAGTGATTCTTGATCTTCAAGTTCTCAAGGCGAGGAAATGGCAAGGCAAGAGAATGATGTTTTGTTTCGTGAGTTTGGGAATCCCGAGGATTATGAGCTCACGGGAGGGATTTTGCTACCCGTCACGGAAACCAACTTTACCATTCATCCTCAATACACTAGAATGGTTCAAGCGGAGCAATTTTCGGGTTCTCCAAGTGAAGATCCTATTGAGCATCTTGATAGATTCCTTGAGCTTTCTGCCATGATTCAAACCAACCAAGTTTCTCAAGAATACATCCGTATGCACTTATTCCGACAATCTCTTTCGGGTAGAGCAAAGAAGTGGCTCAAACAAGTCAAGCCAAACTCTCTCACGACATGGAGGGAGATAGTCAAGGCGTTCTTGAAGAGGTTCATTTCCGAAGAAAAGACCGCCGAGATGAGAAGGAAGATTGCATCATTTGAACGAGAAGCGGATGAGAGTCTTAGTGAAGCTTGAGAAAGATTCAAAGAGTTGGTACAAGCATGTCCTCATCACGAATACAATCAAAGCTTGCTCATGAGATTCTTCTATGATGGGTGGGAACCTATGTCTAGAGCTAACTTGGATGCGGGGGCGGGTGGCCAATTGATTAAGGTCCCTCGAAATCAAGTCGAAGCAACAATTGAAGAGGTAGTGAAGAACTACTCTTGGGGTGGTAGAAGGAGAAATGCACCAAAGAAGGGTGGAAAGTATGAATTGGAGAAGGTTGATCAATTGCAACATCAAATTGAGCTTTTGACAAAAGGGCTTGCAAAGTTGAATACGAGTGTCAATAGTGGGGCAAGCTCCTCTCAAGTCAATTATTTCTCTTGTCAAAATTGTGGTAGAACGAACCATGATACATCTTATTGTGGAGGTTTGAGCGCGAAGCATGTGGCGGCATACAACACAAGGCAAGATGTACATAGGGGAAGTGGAGGTGGAGTAGCTTGGAGGCAACCACCACTCGGATTTGCTCACCAACCTCAACAATGGAATCAACAAACTCAAAAGTCATACAACTCCAACCCCCAATACCAAAACCCACCTCTATTCCAAACCCAAAACCCAAGAGGAAACTACCCAAGAAACAACCAACACAATAATCAAAACCAATACCACAATCAAAATCAAGCGGCTCAAAGGAGTCAAGAGCAAGCATCTCAACCCGATTCTACTCAAACCCAAATTCTTCAACAACTTCAAGCCATGAATCAACAAATGCAAGAGGTCAACGCTCATAACAAGGTGGTTGATTCACATCTAGCTCAATTGGCCGAGAGATTCCCTTTCAACTCACCTTCTGCTCTACCCGGACAATCACAAACCAACCCTTCCAACATTGTGAAACCCGACTCTTGCAAGGCAATCACGTTGAGATCGGGTACATCCTATAAGGGTCCCAAGGAGGGGGATAGTGAGGAAAAGAAGAAAGGAGAAGAGAGTGTGAGTGAAGACAAGGAATTTGAAGAAGAGAAGGTTGTTGAAAAGAGAGAAATATGGAGAAAAAGAAGTCTAAAGATGTGGTGACATCTTCAACTCCTAGTGAGGCTAGGAATCTTGATGGACCGGTTCCCTTTCCCGGTCGACTTGCGGAGAGGAAGTTGAATGACAAGTTTGCAAAGTTCCTTAGTGTGATAAAGAACTTGCACATAAACCTCCCTTTCATTAAAGTTGTCACACAAATGCCTTCATACTCCAAGTTCTTGAAAGATATTCTCACCAACAAGAGGAAGCTTAATGATGATCTTATCACTCTCCCCCATCAAGTGAGTGCACTTGTTCAGCATAAGATGCCCAAGAAGCAAAAGGATCCGGGAAGTTTCACTTTGCCGGTAAAGATTGGGAACATGGAAGCTAGGGGTGCCTTAGGCGATCTTGGAGCAAGTGTCAATTTGATCCCTCTATCCATTGCTTAAAAGCTTAATATTGAAATGATCCCCACAAGAAAAACTATCCAATTGGCCGACCGTTCGGTGAAGCTACCTTGTGGTGATCTTGAAGATGTCCCAATTCAAGTTGTGCATATTTATGTGCCTTGTCATTTCGTAGTGATGGATATGGAGGAGGATGTTGATACTCCCTTGATTTTGGGTCGTGAAGCTCTTAAGACTTTGGGGGCGGTGATCAATTGCAAGAACAACACCATTACATGTGAGGTAGCCGATGAAAAGATTATTTTTGAGTTCTCTAAGCTACTCAAGACCCCCATGGTTGAGAAGTGCTATAGGGTTGATGTGTGAATGAAGAGTTAGATCGCTTGGGAAGGGTTATGATGAATCCTCAAGATCCAATGGTTGAAGCTCTTACATGCAAGGAAGAGTACCACTCTCAAGAAGCAAAAGAGTTTGTCATGGCCATTGAAGAAGTCAAAAAGGAGGAAGAGGATGATCCTAGGGATGATGAGCTTAAACTAGCGGAGGAGAAATTGGAGGAGAGTTCTAAGCCTCCTCCCAAGGTAGAACTCAAACCCCTTCCCCCTCTTTGAAATATGCTTATCTTGGAAATGAAGAGGAATACCCTATTATTGTCAATGCTACACTTGATGGTCTTGATTTTGAAAAATTGCTTGTTGTGTTGAGAAAATATAGAGATGTGATAGGGTATAGCATTGATGATATCAAGGGTATTAGCCCTTCTTTGTGCATGCATCGTATTCACCTTGAGGATGATCATTCCATCTTAATTAAACCTCTAAGGAGGTTGAACCCCAACCTCCAAGAGGTTGTGAAGAAGGAAATCTTGAAATTACATGAAGCGGACATAATTTATGCTATCTCCGATAGCAAGTAGGTTAGCCTGGTTCACGTAGTTTCAAGGAAAGGTGGAATGACCATCGTTAAGGGAGAAGGAGGAGAGGAAATCTCCATCCGGACGGTGACCGGGTGGAGAATGTGCATTGATTATAGGAGGTTAAACAAAAATACAAAGAAAGACCATTTTCCTCTCCCCTTCATGGACTAAATGTTGGAGAGACTCTCCCACCATGCTTTCTTTTGCTTTTTGGATGGATACTCCAGGTTTTTCCAAATCCCTATCCATCCAAATGATCAAGAGAAAACTACTTTCACATGTCCATATGGAACATTCGCATACCGAAGAATGTCATTCGGGTTATGCAATGCTCCTTCAACATTCCAATGATGCATGACTTCCATTTTTTCGGAAATGCTTGAAAATGAGATTGAAGTTCTTATAGATGATTTTAGTGTTGGTGGCTCGTCTTTTGATACATGTCTTTATAATCTTGAAAAAGTTTTGAAAAGGTGTTAAGAGACGAGTTTGGTTTTAAATTGGGAGAAATGTCATTTTATGGTCGAGGAGGGTATTTTCCTAGGCCAAAAAATGTCAAAGAAGGGCATTGAGGTTGATTCGGCCAAGGTTTCGGTGATTGCAAAGTTGCCCCCTCCTACTTCCGTTACGGGAGTTAGAGCTATTCTAGGGCGTGCCGGTTTTTACCGGAGGTTTATCAAGAATTTTTCATCAATTTCCAAACCTTTGACCAAATTACTCAGGATAGATGTTGTGTTTAGCTTTGATGAGGCATGTCTTGAGGCATTTCAAAAACTCAAGGAAGCTCTTATTTCCTCTCCTATTGTGGAAGCTTCGGATTGGAGCTTGCCTTTTGAGCTAATGTGCGATGCAAGTGATTTTGCAGTAGGTGCGGTGCTTGGGCAAAAGAAAGAAGGAAAATCTCATATCATCTACTACGCAAGTAGGACTCTTGATGAAGCTCAAAAGAACTATACAACTACATAGAAAGAAATGCTTGCGGTTGTGTTTGCCATGGACAAGTTTAGGTCCTATCTTATTTGCTCCAAGGTGATTGTGTACAAGGATCACATAGCGGTTCGCTATCTTATGACCAAGAAGGAAGCTAAGCCACGCCTCATCCGTTGGGTTCTTTCACTTCAAGATTTCGACATGGAAATGAGGGATAAAAAAGGAGCAGAGAACTTTGTGGCGGATCATTTGTCTAGGCTTCCTTTTGAGAACAAGGAGGATGTGCCAATCAATGAAGAAGTAGGATTTGAAACTCTCATGGCTATGGCTTCAACATCTAACCCGTGGTATGCGTATATAGCTAATTATCTTGCTTGCGGGGTCATTCCCCCGGAGTTTTCTTCTCAACAGAAAAAGAGGTTTTTCAAGGAAGTGAGGAGGTACTTTTGGAATGACCCCTATTTGTTTAAACAGTGTGGAGATGGATTCTTCTAGAAATGTCTTCCGGACCATGAGATCGAAGGAGTTCTTGAGCATTGCCACTCATTACCGTGTGGAGGACATGGGGGAGTTGATAAGACGGTGGCAAGGATTTCTCAATCCCTCCTATGGTGGCCAACGATGCATAAGGATGCTCATAAGTTCGTTTCAAGATGTGACAAGTGCCAAAGAAGTGGTGGCATAACCAAAAGGGATGAGATGCCTCAACAAAACATTTTGGAAGTTGAGCCATTTGATGTTTGGGGTGTTGACTTTATGGGGCCTTTTATCCCTTCATGTGGGAATTTGTATATCTTGGTAGCGGTGGATTATGTTACTAAGTGGGTTGAAGATATACCCTCCCCTACCAATGATCATAAGGTTGTGCTTAAACTTCTCAAGAAAATCATATTTCCGCGGTTCGGGGTTCCTAGGGTGCTAATTAGTGATGGAGGTTCTCATTTCGCCAAGAAGCAATTCGAAGCTCTTCTTAAGAGATATAGGGTTCATCACAAAGTTGGTCTACCTTACCATCCTCAAACCCAAGGGCAAGTGGAGGTGTCAAATAGAGGGATCAAGAACCTTCTCGAAAGGATGGTGAACAAGTCTAGGAAGGATTGGTCCCTCAAGCTTGACGACACGCTTTAGGCCTTGTGGACGGCAAACAAGACTTCAATTGGTACAACCCCTTATCGGTTGGTCTATGGGAAGGCTTGTCATTTGCCGGTTGAGTTGGAGTATAAAGCTTGGTGGGCAATCACAGAGCTAAACATGGATATGTCGTTGGCCGGTGAGAAGAGATTTCTCAAGCTCACCGAACTTGAAGAGCTTAGATATGATGCCTACGAGAACTCGAGACTATACAAGGAGAAAACTAAGAAATGGCAAGACCAACATATAAGGAACAAGAGCTTCAAGGTTGGAGATAAGGTGTTGTTATTCAACTCTAGGCTCCGTTTGTTTCCCGGAAAGCTCAAGTCCAAATGGTCGGGACATTTTGTGATTTCAAGGACTACTCTTTATGGGTCTTTTGAGTTGGAGGTGGGAAACAACAAGTTCATGGTTAATGGTCATTGTTTGAAGCACTACTTTTGCAAGGATGAAGTAGGCTTGATAGAATGTATGAGGCTTGATCCATTGGATCCTAAGCCACCTTTTGGATGATGGTTTATCATGGTCAAGCTAGTGACCTCATAAAGAAGCGCTTCTCGGGAGGCAACCCGAGTTCTCAAACTCTTTTGGTCTTGTATTTCTTTTATTTAGTCAATCTTGGTTGATTTCTCTTTAGATTCTTATTGCGTGCTTTTTGTTCTTCTTTTGTAGGTACTTGAATCTTTGGGCATTTAGTCTACAAATTTGAGAATGAAGGTGTTAAGGGGGAGTTATGAATCGAAAGAGAAGATTGCAATTGGATTTTTAGTCTCAAGTCCTAAGGGACTTATTGTGTTTCTGGAGATGCCCTAGAGATGCCTAGGAGAAGGCTTTCCATGAAGACCCGCGGGCGAGGCACTTAGACCCGCGGGCGCGGACAGGGTTTCTAGCCCCCTTTACTAACATTCTGGAGATGCTCAGGAGATGCCTGGGAGAGGGCTCTCCATGAAGACCCGCGGGCGTGGCACTTAGACCCGCGGGCGCAGACAAGTAAAACCCGCGGGCGCGGCCCTATCACCCGCGGACGCGGCCTACTGTTCTTTAGAAAAATTCAGAAAGCGGAGATGCCTAGGAGAGGGCGCGGCCCTATCACTCGCGAGCGCGGCGAACTGGTTTTGCAAATTTTACCCCCCTTTTTCCTCAGCATTTCTAAAATCCCTTTTTCCCCTAATTTGATTTTTGCTTCTTCTCTCTCTCTAAACCTCCAATCCTCTTCAAACCCTAACTCCTTCCACCTTAAAGTCTCATCAACATTCATCATTAAATCATCAAAAATCATCAAATTTCCTCACTTTCTCTCAAGTTTTCTCATCAAAGTCCGAAATTTCACCATTCATTACCCCATTTTCAGTGTTCTTCTCAAGGTTTGAACGGCTCTAGCATTTTCACCATTGAAGGGACCTTGAAGGTGGGTTTGAATTCTTTTTCAAAAGACTAGTTGGAGTAGTTTTTGGCACTCATTGTTGGTATATCTCTTTCCCACTCTAGTCTTTCTTTGAATTTGAAGCATTTCCTTTGGTGAGAAAATTGTTGTTTTGTGAATTTCATGTGGGAATTTCTGATGTTTGCATGCCTATTTTGTGTTGGTTATCTTATTGAGCATGGTTGATTGTTGATCTCTTGTTGACCTTGTTAATCGTTGTTGAGTTGTATTGCTTGGTTGGTGTTGCTTGGTGATTCCGAAAGTGTGCTCATTATGTTGGATTATTGAAGTAGGGAAATTGTCGTTGTGATTTGTGTGGTGTTTGATTGAAATTGGGTGTTGATAAAATGGTGTTTGGTTCAAAGAAGAGAAAAAGTGGGAAGGAACCACAAGGTTCAAAATCCGAAAACCCCCAACCAAATGAACAACCTCCTCCACCACCTTTTCCACCCCTCAAATTCCACAATAAAAATCACAAATCCATCTACGACAATTTGCAAAACCGGAAATTTAGACCCACAAAAAACTACCACCAACCCTCTACAACAAAGCTTGGCATAGACAACGATTGTTGGTTCCTATTCAACAATCTTAGGTTAGGCTCATTTGTGACAAGTGCCAACTGGACCTATAAGGAGCCCACTCTTGAGTTCCTAGCCTCCTTTGAATGTCATGCCGCGGGGGATAAGGACCTTGCCATCTCTTTTCAACTTTTCAACTAAAAGAGACTGTTAACCTTCGTCAATTTAACCAACTGTTGGACCTTAACCTAGACGCCAACATGTTCTTCCCCGAGCACGAGGTCTTTCGTGATTATAATCCCCTTTCGTGGTGGAAAGTCATCTCAAGGATGGACGCGTTCAATGCCAAGTATTCCTTGTCCAGTCAAATCACGCACCTGGCCATCAGACTTCTACATCGAATCCTTGGGTACATGGTTTTTAATAAACATGACTTGGGAAAGAT